CTAAGTAATTTTAGATATTCAAAAAAAAAATGGATTTTGCAATAATTTTTTTTGCCTTCCCCAAAAACTAATAATTTCTTCACACTGTCAACACAATAAAACGTTATTTGATTAAGATGATCCGTTCTCTTAAAGACTGCTATTTTTGCACCTTTTGCTCCGAAACACCTGGAACTGCCTTAGCAAAACACTAATCAGCACCTAGGCAAAAAGTTATGCGCTGTTTGTGGTGATGACCTTAAATAAAACGACAGTATCAAAATTGGTTTGTCAAATTTTGTTCTGGTGATTTTTCGCTCAAAAATGAAAAACACCCTGGTCGTCCAGTAGAAGTTGATGATTGACCAATGTAAAATCAATTCTGATGTCTACATTGAACAATTAACGAAATTAAGCAATTCAGTTGAGCTCACAAAAAGTTAAGCGCTATTTATGGTCACGAAGCCTTAAAAAACCGACAGTGTCTGAATTGTCTTGCCAAATTTTGTTCTGGTGATTTTTCACTCAAAAATGGAAAACACTCTGGCCGTCCAGTACAAGTTGATGATTAACCAACTGAACAATCAATACTGATGTCTACATTGAACAACTACGAAATTAAACAATGCAATTAAAAAATAGCGGCCTAAATTGGCAAATCGAAACGGCGATTTATTCTATTATTGACTTCACATATCTTTGGCCCCTTGGCAAAAATTATTGGAGCTTGGTTGGGAGTTTTTTCACATCCACCATATAGTCCTGGTCTTACACGATCTGATTACTGTTAATTTAAATCTTTACAAAACTCCTTGATTTAAAAAAAAACAATAATGATGGTGTCAAATTGTACCTGATTCAGTTTTTTGCAAATAAAAACTAGAAATTTTACGAAAGTAATGTTGTTTGAATTATGGCAAAAAGTCGGTGTTCAAATTGGTCAATTCATTTCAGAATAAAGTTATTGAGTTCCGTGAAAAACGACATGTTTAACGTTCATACGATAAATTTTTTACCTGACTAATTATTATGCTCTTCCGATGAAGTACAAAAAGCGTGCAATTTTCTCTGAGCGTTTCGTTCAAATTTTATTCGCGATCAAGATAAAATTGAATCCAACCGAGCGTCTAAGTACGTTCCTGTCAATAACCCAGGTTGTTTCTCTATTCGATTTGCAAAAATTTCCATAAATGTATGTAACATGATGATTTGTTTAACCAGGAAAGCATAACACGACAAACACAAATGGAATATAGTGCGCTTACTAGTACATTTGCTATTTGCTATTTGCTATTTGCATGCAAACATAAAAAACGCTATCATTTCAACACATAACGTTTAATGCTGAATATTAATGAAGCGTGGAAATTGAAAATTATAATAATAACGAACGAATATTTGATACTGTTAATTAAATTACAGGCGGGATCGAAAGAGAATGTTGATATAAAAAATATTGAAATGCAGTATCAAATATTTCAGCACCTTCAATTATAAATGTTTGTGCCAATCGTGAAATTAAATTTGTTTCGGTCCAAAACTCATTGCAAATAGCAACAGTTCTTATTAACTTCCCGTAAGGTAAGTTCTAGTAATCGCAAAAAAATCGAAAATGGAAATTTTAATATGTCTTAACGTTTCAGGGGTTTCTGAATATTTTGGCATTCCTTAGAAAAATTGGATGCAAGTGTGTGTGTATGCGTGTGTGTGTGTGCGGATACAAGTTTTCGTCGACGATTTCGGAAACGCCGATCAACCGATTTGAATAAATCAAAATTCGATTCCTACTAATAATGAGACGTGCTGATTTGTTTTTAGCAAAGGCAGGTTTAGCCGTTTGGGGGATACGGGGCAGAAAGTGCCAAAAATGGTATTTCCGTTTTGAGATAACGGAGCGTCCGATTTAAATAATTCAAAAACATTTTACTTGTATTGGCAAGATGAACAACTGGAATTTTTTTTGTAAAGGCAGGTGCAGCGTCTCCGGAGATCCAATAAAAAAAGTAAAAATTGGCGGTCAAAAATGAACCTTAGACATATGTACATCGTATTATCAGATATTTTATAAAGATTATAATAATAAGTACAAATTTTGTGAACATTTATATCGGTACCAATGTTTACACGTTAGACGACTACGCGGCGCTTACGCGCTTTGATTTCGACACCAAATCAGATATGCAGCGCAATTGCTCAAAATGTTCAGAATTTTCAAAAAAATATCAAAATACAAAAAAATCGAAATATTAAAAAAATCAAATTTTTCAGAAAAGTCAAATTTTTTCAAAAATTTCAAAATTTCTCAAAAATCTAATTTTTTCAAAGTCTTGCAAAGTTTTTTTTAATAATTTAGTTTTCGGTACGGGAGATTCCAGCAATTCGCCTTTAGGTACGATGCCATGCACCACTAGTTTTTTCAGCATTTACAAAAAATTAAAATAAATAATTTTGTTAACAAAATCAGAACTTAGCAGTTCTATGAGCTGTTCTAATAAACCTTCTTAGCAGCCATGATTTTTAGAAGAAAAATTTCCCTAATACTAATGATCTATTTTTACTACAAAGCAGCTATTCCGTAAAAATGGCTTTCAAAACATATTTAAATCTATATTTTCAAGCAAAAACCAAAGTCACTACTACTTTATATTAGACTGGCCGAGATGGGTGTCGAATCTGGAATTCTATGGTTGCAATAGCAAGGCGAAATTTCTTATCTCTAAGAAAATGCGAGTCAGATTTGACACCACGAATTATGTTTTTCATCTCGATCCAAAAATTATTAACTATTGAAATTACAAAATCTTTCAAACTATTTAAACTATGTTTGAAATTACTCTATAATTAAAAGATAACATTATAGGTAACATTTTAATATAAGTAATTTGTAATAAAAATATTAGAGATTTATCTCCTAGTAGATACAGATTACTTGTATGGTAATTACAAAAAAATGTGATACTAATATCATAATTTTTATTTGATTTTTGAGTGAATCTTTGGAACCACAAAAGCTAAGTTGAAAAATCTCTACTCAAAAACAGGAACAATAAAAAAAAATTTAGGCAACAAAAAATTTTGCACAGAGGCAGATTTTTACCAAAAAGTGACCAGAACGATTCCTAATACAAAAATTGAATTTCCAAAATCGGTTGAGGATTTTTGGCTAAAATGTGGATCATTGCGAAAATCAAATTAGCGCCTTTGTAGAGTATCATCGAATGGCTTTTAAATTTTAGAAAACGTCGATAAAAGATGATATTTCTACCGAGTAATTAATAATTACCGAATAATATTTTCATTTAATCTTATCGATTACCCAAGTTTATGCACTGCACATTGTCTAAAAAGTATCCAAGGCTTCTTCATCATTATGTCGTATTTTCAACGCTTGATATTTTTAAACACTTCACACCGTGTGGATTTCTCACGTAATTGCAACAACATATAATAATATAATAGGCGTATAAATTTATAATTTATTCAAAACAATGTCTGCAATGGGCTCCCTGTAAATTCTGAATGAATCTGACAGACGGACGACCTTGCCGAATTGTGAAAAGTGCTATATGGGTCAATTTTTGGGACACGTTACATACTTGGGTAAAGTAGAAATGATTACCGTTAATTAGGTTAGATTCATAGTTATTTTACCTTCCCGAAGGAGACTTGGTAAATTTAGGTGTTTTCGACGTTGCAGGTCAATCTGGATTATTTGAGAGTTATAAATTAATATTCAAACTAGTGCATGGCATCGTGCCTTAAGGCCAATTGCTGGAACTTCCCGTACCGTACATTCGAGGAATGAAAATAATCGATAATTGTTTTGAAGATTTTTAAATAGATTATTTATTATAAATACATACTGTAAATTTAAAAGTACTTATTAAATTGGGCGACGAAATTTATTGATAATTTAGTGTTTTTTTTTTCAAATTTTAAAATTTATTTAGAAGTTTGAATTTTTTTGGGATTTAAAAAAAACGTTTTTTTCTAATTTTTTGAGAATTTGGAAATTCTTGAAAATAATAGATTTTTTTTGAAAATTTTGAAATATTTTCAAATTTTTGTAAGAAATCGATTTTTTTAATATTGATATTTTTTAAAATTCAGTTTATTGTTGAAAAGATAGGTTTTTAGTAAAAAAAGAAGGCAGAATTGCAACCGATAAGGCATAAATTCAACCGAAAAAATTAAGGCATAAATACAACCGGTAAGTTCAATTTAATGTTCATCGCATTAAATAAAACTCGACATTAAATGAATCAGCTTATGAAAAATAATCATAAGCAATCATTCAAATTTTTGGTAACATAACCTCCTGTATGAAAATTAGATTTTAAACAAAATTATTTCAATTATAATCATTAATATGATGGAAGTGAAATATATGATTCATATTCAATTCCAGCGACTAAAAAAAGAACGAACAATTTAGAAAAATAAACATTATTACACAAACCTGAATTTTGTAGTTCTAACTATACAAGATTTCCTGCAATTCCTTAAAGAAATGCTATAATTTTATAATAATCATATAATTTTTGGGCAACTCATCTTGAAAAATATGTAGTTGCAAGGTTCCTAGAACAAGATTTTTCTTGCCATTTTCCTTGCTTTTTCTAGGTTATTGCTCATAATTTTATATTTCAAATTTACAACTTCTCACTTCACATTATCTTCCATTATTTGACCTAATAATAAAATATAGGCATATAAATTAAATAAAAAACATTTTACTTTTATGCATGAAGTTCTTATGCATTTAAAGAGAATGAAGAAATTGTATAAATAATTATGAATATATATATGAATATATATATATATATATATATATATATATATTAATTTTAATTTAAAAGAAACAAGTTAAAACGAAAGCTATTCTAAACTGAAAATGATACTTTCCGAGCAAAATTTGAACTGATACATCGCTAAAGACGTTTTTTATATGCTGATATAAGGCAAGTTATTCTTAAATTATAAAAAACAAGTAAATTGATTTATTTTTAAATATGAAAGATGCACCATATAAAACTATAACCATGATCTTAATACTCTTCAAACGATTGATGATGTTCTTCTTCCTTTTTTTGTTTCGGAGTAAACGGATTTGTAGCAGGATCAGCATTCAAACTAAAAAAATCAAAATTTATATAAATAATCATTATTATCATCAGAGATCATTTTTTGGTATTTTATAAAATTATCGATATAGTATTAAAATTGAAGTATAATATAATTTAAATTTAAATTATCAATAACTTGTGGCTCATATTGTTTTTAGACTCGAGATATGCGAGGTTGATGGGTGCAGTCTCGGCGCTCAATACTAATATTTAAACAGATAGTATATTCTCAAAAGCGAAATTTGCGACTTTGATGAAACTTGTCACAAATTATCATTATACTTTAGCAAAATTGTGACAACAATTTTGAGTTGGTTCATGCAACAGTTTTCGAGATATGCGAGGTTGATGTGTGGCTGTCCCGGGCTCAATACTAATATATGAACAGTATGAATAGATGGTATCTTCTCAAAATCGGAATTTGAGAATTTGATGAAACTTGGCACAAATTATCATCATACTTTACCAAACTTGTGACAAAATTTTTTAGATGGTTCATGCAACAGTTTTCGAGACATGCGAGGTTGATAGGTTGCTGGCTCCGCGCTCAATACTATATGACTAATATTAAAACAGATGGTATCTTCTCAAAAGTGAGGTTGCGAATTTGATGAAACTTGGCACAAATTATCATTATACTTTACTAAAATTATGACAAAAATTTTGAGTTTATATTACAAAAATATTCGTGGGCCACGGTAACTTCATTGGATTTATTTATTTATTTATTTATTTATTCATAAGCAAGCCGTAATCAATAATAATAGATATTATTTCAGGCTCTTAGTCAAGTTAGTTAAAAATGTACTAAATATTGACAAAACCTATGTGGTTGTTGTGCAGTCAGACGAATTTCTCAGGTTGTCAGATAGAACACCTAATCTAGAAACCGCACAAATATCAAAAAAGCGATGTTAGATAACAGGGTATTTCTGACTCAGCTTCATAGCATACGAGTGACGTTGCAGTTTATGTGTAAAACTGCCTGAATGTACATGACATTTTAACAGTATTCAGTATGATTCAGTAGGTTAATGTATGGAAGTTGGAGTGTAACATGGCCTTGCCATAACATGATAGTACAATTTTATACAACATGTCATAACTGCGTCGGCCTTAGGTACAGTAGCTATGACAATATCATGAAGGACGTTTTATATGTTCAATAGAGATGAAAAAATATTTTTATTTCGTTTAAAGTCCTATTGGAAACCGCCTGTTACTACTTATTTCTATTACAAATAGCCCCCTAGCTCCACTTTTTAAATGCTGCCAAAATGTTCAAACTGTCTTCTACCAAAATTGCACTATAAAAATACTCGTAATATACGAAGAACTACTAGTAATTTTCTCCGCAATAACGTAATGGAAAATTAAATAACACATTTTTTAATTGTGTTTTAACTGTCTCCATAAAAAATGTTTACGCCTGTGTCGCCCGGAATGTAAATAGTCGCGTCGTAGAAGCGGCACAGGTTACGTTATAAAGAAAACAAATAAAATGTACAGCAAATTTCTAGATTTTCTAAAATTTCTTAACAAAAATACCACAAAGTTAAAAGCTGTGTACTTTTACTTTATCGTGCAACTGAAATGGAAATTTTTCTTCTCCACACATGTGGTACCTAAATATCATAGCAAACATATGTATAATGAGCGAATAATTAGTTTAACTAATGAGCAAAAAATTATATATATATATATATATATATACTAGATAACCCGACAGGCGCTGTCCTGACCCACGTCTACAATTCAATAGTTCAAAATTTTTTAGTATCCTATCCTATACTTTTTAATATCCTATTTGATGTACTGCTTTTGTGATTCATTTATGGTCCTAGCATAAGCAGTATAAGAAATTCAGAAAAAAATAATATAGTATCTGCGGTGAAACAACAATATTACACTTGATTTCACCACACAACATAATTGCTTCAATAATTTAGTCTATAATTTTCATAATCTCGTACGATATATTAGTTGCTTTTTGGCAATTATAATTTTCAAAGTCCATTTTTCTTACTAATAATTTAACAAACATTATTGTTTATGTTTATTTAAATCTTAGGTGAATTAATTTGTAAAATCTAGTTCATATGAGCACTCTTCAATCTAAGATCAAATTGCTGAATATTCCATATCCAATGCCAAACAAATAAATTTTTGACACATGAAACAAAATTCTAAATCATTTTTTAATAAGTAGAAATATTTTTTTTTGTATTGTTAAATAATTTAGTGAAGGAAACTAAAATACGACAGGCATAATTTCAAAAAAATAATGTATATGCAATTTGGGACTTATTGCGTTATTTATTAAACCGATTATATAATTCCATCTGCCAAACATATACTGTTGACTGTATCTTAAATTATTTTAATTTGATATTTCTAGCAGATGACGGCTCAAATGTTTTCAATGTCAAACAATAATTAGTGGTTTTACAATATTACTATAGTTTTATCGTTCATTAAATGATAAAAATTTCCTTTGACAAACTCTATAAAAATTATCAAAATCCGAATAACCGTTTAGGAGAAGTATCAAATCATACATCCCTACAGAAGAATTTTATTATTTTACGTTACACTTACTATTCTAACCAGAAAAATAAAGAATTTAAGGGATATTCTAGTTGAAAAGATTTAAAAAATCGTTTCTTTTATATTTGCAAAGTTTATTTATTCAAGATTCAAAAGATTTTTTCGAAATTTAAAATTTTTAAATTCTACTAACGAAAAATCCATATGATTTTTAAGACGTACTAACCTTCAAACGATACTTGTCAAATTTTCAGGACAATTCGACAATTAGTTTACAACTTATTACAGAGGTTCAAATGACGCGACTTTTGCGTTTTTCCGAATCATGAATTCAAAGCAAATTCATTTGACGACGATAATCATCCTCCGTTTGCTTCTTCCGTAAAACTTCATAGGCGCTTTCCTCGAAACTGTCTTTTTCTATAGGATACCCACGATTTCTCAACTTCTACTAGATTTAATTGGAATTTTCACTTCTACTAGATTTAATTAGATTTAAGGACTTTACCTCACTATAAATCAAGCTCATACCAAAATTCTGATTTTTATATAATTTTAAAAAATATCGAGAATATCAAAGTCAAAATATTTTTTTTCAGTCACTATTTTATGAATACATTTTTTTAACTTGTGCGTAGTTCTAACAAGTGCGACATCATTCTAAATTAATAACCTAATTTATTTTTTTATCGGAATATTTGAAGGTCTAAAATCAAATGGTCACGTAACCATAAAACCCCACACTTCATGACCTCTGCTAGAATTAAAACTTTTTGTTTAATTAAATTTAAACAAATAATACCTATAAAAATGTGGCGCTTCTTCACAATGTACATTATACCACCAATCGCAAGCAAACAATTTTTGATTGAATAAAGTTCCGTTTGCACACAGGAAACTTGCACCCTGGTGACCTTCCCTTCCGTCGTGGCAAACATGGTAAGCCTAAAATAGAACATTGAATTCATTAAAATTTAGGCTTCAAATTTCTGCAAATCCTAGTTAGTAAGTTTTACTGTAAGCAAACTTTTCAAATGTACTAATAAAACCTGTGAAGAATTTAAAAAGTAAGTAGATATTTTTACTTAATTTATGTATACAAATTCTATGTATAAACAATTTTCATCTACAAAATTATTATTATAATTAAAATAAATTAAAATATCAAATTTTGTGAAAAAAATTGATCAAATATTTTAAACAATTTGAAATTTTCGTCAACTATGTATTTGCAATATTATGTTATATCACCTGTTCTCGAAACAAATGTAATTTTATTCACCTGATAATATTGCAAAGTGTATTGTTGATACAATGTTCGTGTAGCAAAATTCCAGGCGTACATGCAAAACATGTAAAATAACAAAGTTATAATATTTATAGACCTGTTTATTCAAACATTTAACTACAATAACTTTTTATAAGTATCTCATGTTCGTTTTTTCCTTTGTAGAATTAAAAAATCACAATATGTTACTATTAATTTTATATTTTTCAACCAACGCTAAACGAAAACTACGCAACTGATGGAAAAACTGTTTTTATTGATGCTAACTATCCATTCTCAGAATTTTTTTCACATTTGGACTGCATCATTAGTGAATTCCGCAATTACTTAGCTGCCAACCCAATAAATATAAAAACTTACAATAATAATAACCATAAAAGCATTTACAGAATACAAGAAAATAAAACGATGATTGCACCAGTCAGTAAAATAAGATTCACTTAGGGGAAATACGGATAAAATGGTATATATAAGCAAAATGACACAGTGGTCTTATTTAAAAATTGGCTGGTTTTAGTGGCGTTTCCGTGAATGCATAAAAGTTAGGAAAGTCATGGTCACAATCCGGTCAGATGTTGAGCGTCATTGTCATAGTCTTGTCAAAGTAATCAGGTCTAACGGGTATTGCGCCTTAAAAAGTTTATTTGGAACAAAATTTTTGGAAAAAAAATCAACAAACTTATGTCAGTAGTTATCTCCATAATTTCTATTGCAATTATTAGGTGTTAGAAGAAATTTTAAATATTTATTCATTTTTATTCACTTTTGAACATTATGACATACTTATGAAATGGATAAAATAACATAGTAGTATCTCGCAAGAACTACAAGATAGTTCATTAGAGGCCAAGATAAAAGATAATTGAAACCTGCAAAAGATGATTGGCTTTTACCTTTTACTCTAATTACTTCTAAAAACAGACCAACGAATCCATCATTAAAAAGAAGATACTTGCATTTATTGCAAAGACCTCTTTACCCGTTCTCAGTCCGACAAAGGTTGGTTAGGACGTATGACTTGTTTCTTTTGCGCTCCTGGGTTATATGCTGATGTCCCAAACAAGACCAAGCTATTGATTGGTGAACTGCTTTCTTAAAAATTAACGTTTTACTATGTCCTTACCTTATACAGGTACATAACACGGTAGATACGTTCCAAAAAAACTAGCTGTAAGTGAAATTCTGTCTTAAGGCAATTAGGGCATCGTGCCTTAAGGCAAATTGCTGAAACTTCCCGTACCAAAAATTATTATTTTTTTAAAAACGGTTAACATTTTTGAAAAAAAATTACTTCGAAAAAATTGGATTTTTGAGAAACTATAAATTTGACAAAAAATTACTTTTTTTCGAAAAAAAAAATTTTTTTGAAAAAAAAATTTTTTTTGAAAGAAAAATTTTTATTTGAAAACAAAAAATTTTTTTGAAAAAAAAATGTTTTCTTCATTTTGACATATTTTGGAAATTCTGATCTTTTTTTCAAAGCAATCGTACTGCTTGAACTGCATAGAGACGAAATGTCAAAGCGCGCAAGTGCCGCGCCGCCGTCTAACGCATAAGCATTGGTACGGAACTCATAGAAATGTAAAAAAAATATACTTATTGTTAAAATCTCTATAAAATATCTGATAATTTGATGTGCATATGTCTAATGATCATTTTTAACCGCCGAATGGCATTTTTTTTACTTTTTTCATTAGATCTCCGAAACCGCTAGACCTGCCTTCATGAAAATTTGATCAATTATTCATCTTGTCAATACAAGTAAAATGTTTTTTGAATTATCCAAATCGGACGCTCCGTTCTCTTAAAAACTTAGTTACCGTTTTCGGCACTTTTTGCCCCGTATCTTCGGAACGGCTAGACCTGCCTTCGCCAAAAACTAATCAGCACGTCTCCTTATCAATACAAATCGAATGTTTTTTGAATTATTCAAATCGGTTGATCCGTGTTCCCGAAATCGTCGACGAAAATTTGTATCCGCACATACATACACACACGTACATACACACACACACACACACACACACACACACACACATACATCCATTTTTTCTAAGGTATGCCAAAATGTTCAGAAACCTCTGAAACGTAAAGATATATAAAAATTTTCATTTTCAATTTTTTTGCGATTACTATAACTTGCCCTACGGGAAGTTAACAAGACAAGGACAAGGACAAGGAACTATTACAAAAAGAGGGGTTACGTTCCAAGAATTCGCAAAAACATCTTACATCTCATTATTTTATAATAAGTATTGTCATATTTATTAATTTTTTAAGACGTAATATACTCGTCTTAACTAACAATTAAATGCTATCCAACGCGATCCTTTTTTTTCAAGATATCATCCTCTCAGCAGTTTTCTGTACTATATATAATGATTTTTTGATAATGAAATGGTCGCAATTTTTTTTAATAAATATTGTTTCTACTTAATTAAATACTACTGGTAGCCAATGAATCTCAAATAAGTAAAAACGATTAAGACCATTTATAATATCATTAAATAAATAAAAAAGAATTGACGAACACCCATATTACGAGGCACAAAAAGTATTCTCAGAAGCGCGCCCAACCAGGCTAAAACGAAAAATTCCCAAGGATCTCATAAATAGCCATTTTAAACGCTAACATTAATATTATTATTATTATTATTATTATTATCTTACTATTTCTATTATTGTTATTTTGTTATTTCTTTATTGTTTTTTTAGTATTATTTTATTATTCAGAAATTTTATTTATATTATTTATTAAATTCATTTTTATTATTATTTGCTTTTATATTATATTAAATCATCATACTACGGATATTATTTTCATGTAAATCCTATCCTTTGCACTCTTATTTATTTAAATTTATGTTATTTATCAATATTGCTGGATGTTAACTATTTAACAGTTGTAATAAATATTGTAATAAAAAAAATAAAAAAACTAGCTGTAAGTGGAATTCTGTCTTGAGGCAATTATGGCATCGTGCCTTAAGGCAAATTGCTGAAACTTCCCGTACCGTAACGAAATGTTCGAGGAATACTGAATGTTTTCAAATATATTATTATAAATATTGTAACATTGTCTAATATTTATAAGAATTATATAAACTGAAATGCAGAGTTGAAATTATTTGTAAAGTAGATTAGAACTATAGTCAGAATTAAAAATAAAATCTGAAATATTTTCGATATACAAAAAACTAAAAAAAAAAAAAAAAAATGGAACAATTTTTTTTTTCCAAAATCAATTATTTTGTTAAGACAAGCAGAAAGTTCTTTGAATCATTTAAATCGGACGCTTAGTTCTCTCAAAAACTGCCATTTTTTACATATTTATCTCCGTATCTTTAAATCTGCCTTTGCCAAAAACTAATAAACACTTCTCCCAATCATTACTAATTGAATTTTTTTTTTAATCATTCAAATCGGATACTCCGTTCTCTCAAAAATTCGATTTCTATTTTTTGCACTCTTTGCTCCGTATCTCCGAAACGGCTGGACCTGCCTTTGCCAAAAACTAATCAGCTCTTTTCCCTATCAATAGGAATCGAATGTTTTTTGAACCATTCAAATCGGTTGATCCGTGCGCCCTAAAACGTGACTGGAAATTTGTATCCATACATACATACACACACACATCCATTTTTTCTGAGGTATGCCAAAACGTTCAGAAACCTTCAAAACGTCGAGAAATGTAAAAATTTTCAATTCCGATTTTCGGCCCATTACAATAACTTACCCTACGGGAAGTTAATAAATAAATAAATATCGTTAAATAAAACACTATCCCATTTTGCCCGTACTTCCCCTAGTAGTAATTCTCATTGATAATAACGTAATAATACTTATCCGTAAGACATCACACCTGGCATCCGGTCTCAACATTGGCGTACATGCCCGGAAGAGCCGGCACGTGTCCGCAATGGAAGCTCGTTTCCGGCACGCTGTGATAAACCGGATAGTCGACTCCCGGAATCCCCGGAACTTTGCTCAGGTCTTGTTTCTCTTCTTTGACATCACTAGGCTGTTCGAAGATTGAACCATATCTCTGAGAAGAAGTTAAAGTTTTGTAAATATTTGTTTCTAATAAAGCTCCTAAATCTAACTTATATGAAAACAAACTCCTTTTGTATAAAACAATTATCATCCCAATCTGGACATATGGAATTGAGCTATGGGCTTCCGCAAGCAATTCAAATAAAAATATATAATACAAAGAACGCAATCAAAAATTTTAAGATGCATTGTGAACGCACCCTGGTTTATTACGAATAACACTCTACATAAAGACTTAAAAATAAAAGCTATTAATGAAATAATAAAAAAAGGAGCAGAAAATACCATGGAAAATTACCAGGTCACCCAAACAAATATTTAAAAGAATTAAGCGAGGAATCTTCTACTCGAAGATGGAAAAAAATGGCCATACGATCTTAAATAAAATGTCAAAAATATATAAAAATGTCTAAATGTCTAAAATAGCTACGCAGCATGTTTGCTTTGAAAAAAAAGTGAAATTTCGAAATATAAAAAAATGATATTTTTCAAAAAATTTCAAACATTTTTAAAATCTAATTTTTTTTCAAAGTTTTCAAGAATTTTACGGCTTTTCTAAAAAAAATCATTTTGGTACAAGAAGATCCAGCAATTTGCCTCAAGGCACTAGTAGTTTGGATATTGATTAGAATTTATTGAGGCATCTGTACACGTTGACTGATATTGAAGAAAAATTTCTTTTGACTTCTCTCGACTTAAGTCAAGACCATGTCAAGACCCTGGTTTGCTTATATTTTACTTAAAACTTAATTTATTTCAAAATCCTTTTTGTACTATTGGACAATTCGATCATTATTATTTTCATCTACTAGTTTAATTATATATCTTATAAGAGATAATCTCTTTAAATGTATTTACATCCGGCATATTGTCTTAAAAAATTATATTATTTTGATCGGCAATAAATCTATGCAAAAAAAATCTTACTTACAATTAGATATAAAAAATATTTTAACACGTTAATCGCCACAATAATATTTAAAAAATTTAAGTGAGATATGGTAACTGTGTTAGATGATTAAATGTATTAGAGAAACTGAATGTATGAAAAAAATGACCAAAATTCCTAGAAAAACACTATTTTTTATATCATAAATATATGACTGGCAAGGCCTTATATTAAAACTCTTTCTCCTGACAAACACATATGACAGGCCAACGTGTCAAAATATACATTTTAAACAATAGTGTTTGGCATTGACCGTAATATTTTTTTTAGAATATGGTAAAGCGGGGCTTAAAAGTCCACAGGTAAAAAGATTTCTTCGATATCTCAAAAACAAGTAATGTTAGAAATTTTTTTAACAACAATATTTGAAAGTAGAGGGGAAAAATATTTAACCAGCCATGATCTTGATTCCTGCGGGGTCGCTATCAGGAGATAAACGTCAATGTTTGAGAATCCATGAGAAAAGTATTTTCTTTCGTTGTTAATTTTTTTGGTAGTGAGATTACATTAAGATTACGAGACTTTAATATAATTTTTAAGTATAGGTTAGTTAATTGTGTTTTGACATATATTGTTATTTTTTAAGTAAAATTCAACTTTTTTTATATACCCTCTATAAAAGCTTGCACGTGTGTGGAGCACAAAAGACCAATTGAAACTTTACCCTGGTAAAGACGCAAACAATAAAAAAAACAGTTAATAAAAAAATGAATTAGGTTACAAAGCAATTTGCAAGAGATAAATTTAATTAATAGTTATTTCAATACTGCTTATGAATATTTCTAACAAAGTACCAGATCTAGGTTATATACACAGTAATCTTTATAAAAAATGTGACCATAAAATTTATATTTTAAATTGGTAGAATAAAGTAGTAATTATTTCGTAAAGTCCCTTCAAAATAAAAAATCAAACATTGGATCAGTTTGTACCATTTTACCTTGCCTATGGGGTAAAAAAGACCAGGTGACAAGTTTTTGAGAAATAGCAAAAAACATGTTTGCAATGATGAAATAGTTTTACTGAACATAGTCAAATAAATGTTTCTTTTATATGTGGTATTTTTAGTGGTTTTAGTTAATTGATTTTGTTTTCATAGAATTGCTAAAAGTGGTGGAAAATATTATAGATAATAATATAATATTATAGATAATAATGTAATTATATTTAGTATATAGATATTATAGATAATAGTATTATAGATAATATACAATGTAAAATAATGATAATTTTAACAATAAACAAATAATTGTAATACATTTAATTTATTACTTTTTCAATGTCTATTGCTATTTTAAGGATCACCGAGTTGAGTGACATGTTACAATATTATGCAATTATATAAATGTGCCATTTGCATCAATTAATCAATTTAAAAGCTACAATATTTATAATAAATAAATTTTCTAATATGGTCATCAACCTGAAAGATACTATAAAAAGTATAGCAGACTAATATATTAACCAAATTGATCGTTGATTTTATGATAGCATTATTACGAAAAATATGCATTTCGCAACTCTGATCCAAAAAATCTGAATTCATTTCCAATTGGCATATAATAAATCAATTCAATGATATTATAATTTATTCAGCATGCAAATAAATCTAATTGCGCAATAAAACAGAAGCAAAAGATTATCGTATTATGGTTGAAATAAAACAGATTAGGATCTGGTAAAAGTGAAACTAGTTGGTTCCATTAATATACAAACCAGTCATTCAAATAAAATTTCAATCTGCCGATGTTATAATAAACGACTGTCTTTTAGGTTTATAACGCCAATAAAAAAGATATTTTTTTTACAAAAACGTGCTTCCTCATGATCATGCAACGAATTGACAATTGTACATATATAAATATATATATACATATATATATACATATATATATATATATATATATATATACAATTACTAAAATTCAAAACTACTATGTATTTTATATTTATTATTATTTATGAATTTTATGATGGTTATTCTCCAGATTGTTCATATCCACTGATGATTGCATAAAATATGTAGTTGGTATTGGTATTTTGCCTTGAGGCAAGTTACATGAACTTCCCGATATGTTTAAATAATTGACTTAATTGACAAAAAATAAATTACTTTATGAGTGATTAAAAGTATACCGAGCGGATTTATTACACATAATTGAAAACGAACGAGCACGTTAACTCGAAGTATTTTCTAAAAGCAAATTTTCAAAAATCAACAATTTTTAAAATTGAACCAGTTTCCGTAAAACTTTAATGGTTTAGTATGTTCATTGAGACCAAGTACTCTATCGTTATACCAAGTAAATCATCTAATTTAATTTTAACACAAGTTGAAAAAACTACTCATTTTCTAAAATTTTGGTGATTTTTTTAAATTAAACTAGTAGTCGTAGGGCCGTAATATTTCAGTAAGTTCTATAAGACCATGATATATATCGCCAAAAAAAAAATCATAACTAATGAGGTGTATGGCATAGTGCCTTAAGGCAAATTGCTGGAACTTCCCGTACCCTAACGAAATGTTCGAGGAATACTGAATGTTTTCAAATAGATTATTATTAATATTGTAACATTGTCTAATATTTATAAGAATTATTTAAACTGAATTGCAAAGTTGAAATTATTTGTTTAAAGTATATCAGAACTATAGTCAGAAAGTAAAATCTGAATTATTTTCGATATACAAAAAAAAAATTAAAAAAAAATCAATTATTTTGTTAAGACAAGCAGAAAGTTCTTTGAATCATTTAAGTCGTACGCTTAGTTATTTCAAAAACTGCCATTTTTTACACATTTAGCTCCGTATCTTCGAAATGGCTCGGCCTGCCTTTGCCAAAAACTAATAAACACTTCTCCCAATCATTACTAATTGAATGTTTTTCAGATCATTCAAATCGGATACTCCGTTCTCTCAGAAACTCGATTTCTAATTTCTGCACTTTTTGCTCCGTATCTCCGTAACGGCTGGACCTGCCTTTGCCAAAAACTAATCCACACATCTTCCTATCAATAGGAATCGAATGTTTTTTAATATAAGAACCGAACCATTCAAATCGGCCCGAAAATGTGGACGAAAAATTGTATCCATACATGCATACACACACACATCTATTTTTCCTGAGGTATGCCAAAATGTTCAGAAACCTTCTAAACGTGAAGAAATGCTAAAAAAATTAATTTCGATTTTTGAACGATTACAATAACTTACCCTACAAGAAGCTAATTAGTAAATAAATTAAAATAACCTCAATAAAAAATGATATATAATAAGAAATAATGAACAATTTATCACAAAATCTTAAAAACAATTTTATGGGCCCCAAATCACGAATGGCAATACTTTGTTCAATTTATTGTAGCAATCGAAGTAATTTTCTATACTGATAGCTATATGTTTTTTTTCAGCTATATTCAGATTCTTTAAATTGTAAAATTCCACGTATCTCATCTCTAATCACACAGATTCCTTTTCAGTGCGCTTTTTCAAAATAAAAGTAAAAACTTGTAATTTATAATAACAAATAAAATTACTATCATTCGTAACAACACTTACTTCCACATCAACTTTAATGCACTCGGAAGCGGCGATCACAACACAAAACAACATTAATGACTTCATCTTAACAGCGCTCAAATCGTTCTAACTGTAACGATCCAAAATGAAAATCTCAAAACAAACTTGGATAAATATGAATGTAAATTATATGTCTGTAGACTATTTTTTCTAATTACAGATCAATGCTATGAGATTATGATAAGAAAAAATTTGTTTTTTGCCGTCAATAAGTCGATTCAAACCGCCGCGTTTGACTTTCTAATTGAAACTGAGGGAGTCTGCAGATAGTAGCATAGTTCCACTCGTGTATAAACAAAATACTATTTGGTCGGTAATGCGCAAAAATTTATGGGATAGACGAGGAAACAGTGTACGAGACCAGAAAAATATAAGAAAACTAATAGAAACTAGTGGGGAGCTTGGCATCGTGCCTTAAGGCAAATTGCTGGAACTTTCTGTACCGTAATTAAACCCTTGTGTGACC